TCCTTAGAGCTCATCTCGAAAGCGAATGTTTACCTTTATGCAACGGAGAGTGGTGGGTGTGTGCAAAACAAGTCCTACATCAAAATGGAATTAATTTATATTACTTTGCTTCAGCCTTGCGTCAGCTTCTTGAGAGGGGAAGACAGAAGCGCTTGAACGTTTTACTCATTGGTCCCACGAATTGCGGAAAGTCATTTCTTCTCAATCCTCTGGAGTTAATATACAAAACGTTCATAAATCCTGCTACGGGAAAGTATGCTTGGGTTGGATTAGAGGAATGTGAGGTCGCATACTTGAATGATTTTCGATGGTCACCAGAATTGATCGAGTGGAGTGACTTTTTGTTGCTACTGGAAGGGCAGACAGTTCATCTTCCAAGGCCAAAGAATATGTTTGCCACTGATTTGTGTATTCCACGAGAAAACACCATCCCAATATTCGCTACCAGTAAGGGGCCGATTGAGTTTTGGGGGAAATATAATAGTCGTGACGAGCGTGAGAATGATATGATGTCCTCCAGATGGAATATATTTAAGTTTAGCGTCCAAATTCCATCAAATGAAAGTAAGGACATACCAGCATGTGCTCGTTGCTTCAGCAATCTAGTCATGTCTGGAAGTGATGTTGAATAAAACGATCATCCTTATATATTAAACATTTAGCGACGTGTCACCATTTTATGACACGTTACCACACGTTACCACACACGTTACCACACACGTTACCACTGAAATACTAAGATACTTAGCAGAAAACAACACGTTACCGTAATTTTTCTTAAATAAGTAATATATACTTCTTTTTTAAATTATTGTGGTAACGTGTGGTAACGTGTCATAAAACAATACTTTGGGGTTTATATCAAGATATAGCGTTTGGTAACGTGTTGGTAACGTGTTGGTAACGTGTTGGTAACGTGTGCGGTAATGTGTTGTTTTAAATTGTGCATATAGAAATAATTGGAGATATGAATTTTAGGTTACATTTATTTACTTCAGACAGAATATTATGAGGTCATATGCTTAATCAAAAATTATACAACTAACAGGTACTCAAGTGATGTTTATAGTAACGATCTGTTATATAATCTAATACTTTGTTCTGTTACCCTTTCCTTTAACAATCAATTTCATTCGTTTATTCATTGAAAGAATTGTTTTATTAATTGTTTCGACTGGGATGTTTTTCACGGTGTGTTTTATACGCTCTGAAAATGCAGCGAAAGACTCTTTCGTGATTTTGTTTCTTAAAGCGTCATCTTGAAGCTGTTTACGCACAAGATGAAAAATATTTTCAATCGGGTTGATATCTGGAGAACGTGGAGGAATCGCAAACATTCTGCATCCTAAACGATCTATTGCCTTACGAGCCACTTTAGAGCACTGTCTTGGGTCACCGTCCTGAAGAAATAGTTTTTCACGAGGATTAGCACTGTTTTCAAAGACAGAACTAAAATGCTCCTTAACGAACTCAGCAAACATCTTTCCAGTAAGCTTGGAATGATACTGCTCACAACTAATCACACCTTTGTCAAAAGCAATCGCAACAAAAAAGTTGGCCGTTTTTCCACCGCTACCCTCTTTTTTCCCTTTAGTTGTATAATTAGACCCTCTCCAGCCTTTCTCCAATTTCTCGCACCACTTGATCTGGCTTCATTATTGGGATTCGTTTTGTGTACAAATCCAACCCCATCAAAGTAAAAGCTAATGCCTTCGGTCCACAACTCTTCTTTTAATCTTTTTAAAACATTCTTTGCAAACTTAGCTCGCTTTTTTTTGTCAGTCTCTGTAAGAAGCCCTTTTTTTCTTGCCTGTCTATATCCGTACCCTTTTCTGTTCAAGAATCTTCGAACATTGCGACAGCTAACATCTTCAGGTATGTTTGCTTCAGTTTTGATTCGTTTTGAAGAAAAGGAAACAGACTCATTTCGCAGTTTGTGTATAGTACGAATTATACTTCTTTTGTCCCTTAATGTCAGTTTACGCGGTCTTCCTTTGTTTCGCCTCCTCTTGTCAAATACTTTTTCGCCTACGCGCTTTTTAGCATGTCGATAAATGCTCCGTGGGGCATACTGAGGATAACGCCTCGCCAGCTCACTGCATGGGATACCACTTTCCTGATGAAGATACCGCAGATAAATTGAGACATTACTCGGTATTTTTGAAGGCGACCTACCCTTCGCTTCCTAAAAGTAGGTAAATTTTACTTGTACATTAAAGCAGTGTAAGCGCTTAACAAAATTGGATCGTCATCATTTCAAACGTTTCTAAATTTACTTCTCTCTAAAGCTAATGATCGATTTGCTCTCACTTATGTCACACCTGTTATAGACCCCAACCCCCCCCCCACCCCCTTCTCCCATCAGCCGTCAGCAAGTGAATTGTGAAGATGACAGTGGCTTCTTGTATAAATAGACACTTTAAAATTTGGACGAAAATCATAGGGCAATACGTATATGCATTAACTGTTATAAAGTTCTTAGATATTGAATAATTCTGATGTATACGACACTCGACCCCCCCCCGCACCCACCCACCAGGCAGTCCTTGCATTAATAATTTGGATGAAAAATTCTAATAGGTCTGACGCACTTTAGCATATCCCTAACATAGAAATAAACTGCTTTTGTAAAAATCCAGATTGAATAAGTAAGGTAATACGTTCCATTTCTGAGCTGACTATGGACAATCCTGGACAAAATATATGGCAAAAATGTCATTCTATTTCCCTTCCCCCAATATCAATGTTGTTTGCGCCAATACACCTGTTTTTCCCTGAAGATTTAACCGAAAATAGCAACATTGATATAGGGGGAGGGACGAGAGTGCCTAAGATTTGATATAAAGTAGACATCTGCCTATATGACGGAAAATAAGACAACAGAACAAGAAAGAATAAGATTAAATAAGTCTTGCCAAAATATTTTGTCCAAGATTGTAGTTATCCCTGGTTATCTAGTTATCCCTGGTAATCTAGTTATCCCTGGTAATCTAGTTATTCCTGGTTATCTAGTTATTCCTGGTTATCTAGTTATCCCTGGTTATCTAGTTATCCCTGGTTATCTAGTTATCCCTGGTTATCTAGTTATCCCTGGTTATCTAGTTATCCCTGGTTATCTAGTTATCCTTGGTTACCTAGTTATCCCTGGTTATCTAGTTATCCCTGGTTATCTAGTTATCTTGATAATCTAGTTATCTTTAGTAATCTAGTTATCTTGATAATCTAGTTATCCTTAGTAATCTAGTTATCTTGGTAATCTAGTTATCCTTAGTAATCTTGTTATCTTGGTAATCTAGTTATCCTTAGTAATCTAGTTATCTTGGTAACCTAGGTAATCTAGTTATCTTTAGTAATCTAGTTATCTTGGTATTCTAGTTATCCTTAGTAATCTAGTTATCTTGGTAATCTAGTTATCTTTAGTAATCTTGTTATCTTGGTAATCTAGTTATCTTTAGTAATCTAGCTATCTTGGTAATCTTGTTATCTTTAGTAATCTTGTTATCTTGGTAATCTAGTTATCTTTAGTAATCTTGTTATCTTGGTAATCTAGTTATCTTTAGTAATCTAGCTATCTTGGTAATCTTGTTATCTTTAGTAATCTTGTTATCTTGGTAATCTAGTTATCTTTAGTAATCTTGTTATCTTGGTAATCT